CAAGGCAAAGTACGCAAGATGTTTTTTTACTCTGTTGTTGTGACGATCAGGTCATGAACTTTAATTGATGGACAAAAAGTCACAAACAATTTCTGAGCAGAAAATGGTATAAACGCTTCCCCATTTTCATTTGATCGTTGTGAATGAACGATTAATGAGAAGGATATCCTGTACACGTAAAAGCCTAACTAATTGAACTATGTATATCATTCACCAGGAGAGGAGCACATGATTGTTGTGACCTTTCGCTATCCTTTCAAGTAGACAGCAGACGGTATTTTTTGCAATTTTATTATAGGCGCAAGTCAGCTTTAACCACCCGGAAGTTGCGTCAAGTAAAAGAAGTATGTTCTGCAGATGTAAGCGATCCTCGCAGCTATGAACACAACTGAACTAGTAGTTGAAAATAAGACCTGAAAAAAATTCATGGCCCGTACGGGATTTGAACCCATGACCTCTTCGATACCGGTGCAGTATGTTCTGAATCATCACACTTCATGGGTACAATAGAATCGGTCATTTAGGGCCTAGCTATATAAATGAATATGAAAGTGATCTTCGCAATAGTGAACACTACTTAATCAGTACTGAAATTAAGGCCTAAAGTGACGGATAAACTACTGTGAATGTATGAAAATCGTAAATGTGAACTACGGGTTAAGAGATTATGAGAGCGTTCTTGGCAGTAATGGACACTACTTAAGTAGTACTGAAAATAAGGCCTAAGGTGATGAAAAATTGACTGTAAAAATATATGTGAACTGCGGGTTAAGAAGTGAATATGAAAGCGATATTCGAAGTAATGAACAGTACTCAAGCATTAGTCGGAAAATAAGGCCTGAATAAAATCATGACCAATCCAGCGACCATGAAGGGACAGGAGTGGAGTGCAACATGATAGTTCCTCTTTTGATTAACTTTTTGCCCTCTTACAAAGTAAATACTTAGCGCGACTCAAACAATGTTTGACAAGATGTTAATTTGCACGTTATTTCTTTCCTAACCGGCATTTTAAAGACCTCTTAGCGGTGTGGGTTACAAAAGAAACATCTGGTAAGGAAAGAATTTTCTTTGTTTGAATTAATAACAAGATAAGCGTTTTTAACATTTTCAAACATTATCATTAAAAATACCAAGCTTCAGCTCGTCAGGCTTAGTTTTTTCAGTTTTATAGGTACTTCGAAGCGTCTAGCTCCAATTTGATTGGGAAGAGTGACAGTGACATGACAGTTGGTCTGTTTATTATGTTGACGCCCTCATTAAAAGATTAGCTATTTATGACGCAAAAGAATACTTAGAGCGACTAACAGAGCTCTACCAACGTGGTGTTATCGATGCAATTTGGCATCTTTTGAGGGTTTTCTGTTCTCAATCTTTTCTCAAGACCTCCTCTGAGCAGTTTAGATCACAATACAAAACTTCCAATATAGAACAAGTTTTCGAAGTATTAAGTAGTAGTAGGATTATAACGAGATGTGCAACATAAGCTGTGACGGTTTTTGTTACAATCTTCGCTCATGTTCTAGAATATGAGGGTATTTAAGGTGCCCACAAACTTTCGTCGGCTAGTTTTCAGAGGGTATTCAAAGATAGAGACTGTGAGTAGATAATTTGCATCACTCTTCAATATGTTTCAGCCATTCTTCTTCCTTGTGATGTTGGTTCTCTATATTCTGAGTTCGTTTGCGCCTGTAAACGGAATTCCAGTTCAAAAGCATCCAGCGAAAAGCTCGCTCACTGAAGAGTGCGAAAGCTTATCAGGACCTGAAGGTCCAAACGGAGCGTCCTCTCTGTTTCAAGACGCGGGTAGGAAAGTATAAAACTAACCTTAACCTTAACCTTAACCCTAACCCAAGGCGAGAAACATCAGCATAATTTTTTTTCTGAGATACTGGTTTTCAAAACGCTTTTCTTAGTGTGCCTTCGAATCAAAAAAGATCTGTTGGATGAAGATTACATCTTTTTCAAAGATATTTCCATTGGAATATGCACAACGTTATTTCAAGTCTGCTTATCCTGACTTGATCAAATTTTGCTCTTACTGAACAAAAAAGACTTATAAACGGCTTTCAAACTCCATTTTCTGCTTCTTCATCTCTTCTAGCTCCCAATGCCCACAATGAATTCCACAAAATGGAATCCCAAAGTAAGATAGATGTATCACCACGAGGACTTCATCCTAAGAACGTGGAAGATATAGCTGATGAACATGCTTGCCGAAAAGTGGATAGGATGGTCAACGCTGCAAACAATAGCATCTTGCATCCTCTCCGCTTCAATGCTTATCAGTGCGTGGGGAAATGCAACATAAAACAACTTCAGAATGTCAACAAATATGCACGGGTGACCCTGAACAGGAAGAATAAACTAAATTCGACGGATGGCATGGCTGCCTGTTGTGTGCCGGTCAAATTGCGGCCAATCCGTATATTGTATTTCGAAAAGGATACCGTAGTAATGCGTTCCCTTGATAATATGATTGTCGAAGAATGCGGGTGTTACCAAATATTCCAATAGGGCAGACACGACAACATTTTTAGCTTGTTGAAGGCAGACCTTAAATAATGAACAGCTTTAATCTAGATGAAAGCATTATTGTGCCGTTAAGTTAAGTAGTTTAAATCTGACAAAGGAACGATATTAATCGCTATTGAAATTTCTCATTCATCGTGATGTTGTGAAATCCAAAGAAGTCCACCTATGCTTTTTTATTTTTAGTTAGGCGCTACATCCTTTGAGTAGATGACTTTTTTTCTAACATAAAAATGACAGAGGAAAGGCTGAGTTCTTTCCAAGGTTTATTAAATGAACTTTCTGATCATTGAGTCATGCATGCCTTTATTTTTAAACGCTTAATGAGAGTAAGGTTATAACCGACATTAAGCCTCTATCCTGCAAAATGTTGCCTCACGGAAAAGTCCTCGGAGATTTATGAATGTTTGTGTGCCATAGTTTACAACATTTGCCATGTTTACTTACTGTTCTTTCTATTGTGACTTGTTTTTTTAAGCACTGATTTCGTATTTTATGCGGAGCCTGAATAAGTGATTTAAATACTTACTGGAGTATACATAAATCTCTCCTGAATTAAAATATTTTGATCTACGATGCACAAGAAAGGGTCAAGAAACAGAAAATGAAGAAATTTAAACGAAAATACCGGAGCCGAAATGGATGCTTCGGGACTTGATGGATTTTTGATCAGTGAGGGACTGTTCGACGGATTTTTGGTTGTATCATGCTAAACTTAACCTGATTTCCTCCCCCCTCTCTCAATAGGAGACAATCGGCAATAAATTTTCTATGGTGCCCCCCTTCCCTCCATTCCCCCCAACCCCCCAACCCCCCCCCCGAAAATCTTGTGATCCTCCCCCACTTAATTGAATTTGAAAAAAAGTTATGATTGTATTGCTTTAGGGTTAGCGTTAGGGTTAGGATTAGGGTCTATGCATTCATGTTGAACATCGAACTTTTGTTTTTCTTTTGTTTTATTTATTCATCAATTTTTCTACCTTTTCTTTTGTTGTTTTTTCCCTAATGGTCTAAGTCTTTTTTATTTGCGTCGGCGCTTGCTGGAAATAGCAGTAAGTTTGACAAAAGTATCTCCGTCTTCTATGACAAGTTGTACTTCTCAATCCTTCCTTTCTCATACCCCTCTCCCAAGATTTTTTCACCCTTTAACTCCCAGTAGTGATAAACATGAAATTTCTCCCAATAATATCAATACATTATTCGGCAAACAGGTAATGAGTATATTCAAAATTGTCGGGTTGAAGCTGCTATCTTGATCTAGCATCTAGTTCTCATTACTAACTTACAAGGAAATGTGTAGTAGCTAAAGGGGAGAATTAACAGTCAGCCGGATATTGGGAATTATAAAGGGTTAAGTGCTCCTCTTCAACCTTTTTCAGCAAAAAATCCCGAATGGTACCATTCTATCTGTGTTCGGTTTGGTTCTTCAACTTCACAATATACCCTCACTATTTGAAACGGCTGGCATTGGAAATGCCAGCCTCAAAACGATAATTAGCGAATACGCTTCAGTGAAATCCTGCAAAAATGTACAGGTACGTAAACGAAAGTGTTCGAAATCTTTTAAAGACCCGCTCAAACTCATAATTTCTGGAGTCTCTCATCACTCTTAATTCAATCTAAGCTCATATTTGTCGCAGCCTCACTCACACAATAAGTCTTAAAGAAGGAAGTCCAAAAAGTCACTGAGCTTAATTCACTGATGATGTTCTGCTCTAGAGAACTGGTTATAATTGTGCTCCGTTGGGGCTTGGAATCCTTGTGGTAAAGACCGATGATTGAACAGAAGGAAGCCTCACGCAGTCTTTTTTATTGAGCCCTCGCCTCGGGGCATAGCTAAAATCTTTTTTTTCAAATTTCTCTCCCTTGGTTTTTGTCTCAGCAGTGTGCGCCTTTGTCAAAAATGTTTTGGTGGCGTGCCAAAACATTGATGAACTTCTTATTTCAAAAACTTTCAATTTTCGGGGGACAGTGTTCATAAGTTTCTGTGAAAGCCTTGATGGTTGGTCTCAAATTCTGTTGTTATTCCTTTTTTTTCTTGACCAAAAAAAAATTCTACAAAGTTCTTAGAAAGACAATTAGAGCTAATGAGTTTCATATTTTGTCGTCATTTCATTTTTTTTTGACACCAGCTTATGTCCCGAGTGATTTACAGGCACCACAAGAATTTACGAGAAAGAAGCAAGATTGGGAAACATTTCTCAAAAGTTTTTCATATAAGTTCGGAGATTTCACCAGTGTTACACCTACTAACAACGATGGTGAAAGTGGTGATGGTGAAATCTCTCAGTGTTGAACAGCCGAGTAGTTTTCTTCGAAAAATATTTGCGCCGCACAGTTCCAGAGAGACCAATTTAGCGTGACAGCAATCAAGTATTTTCTTGCTATTGTCTTTTCATAATAACTCATTATTGGAGGCTTTGTTTGTGGGATATGTATGCATTTTTGGAGTTCCGTTAAAAAGTCATTAATCTTAAAGCTTTGTCTCTAAAGGGCAGAGGGTTGTTTTTGTTAAGTATTTGTAGGAAAAAAACTTGCAGCAACTGCTTTCAGCAGACACTTGGTTTGTTTAAAGAATTGTTTGGTTACAGCTGAGAGATATGGCCTCGAAGAACAGGTAAAGTATGTTTAATTATACCGCTTGAGAGTGAGAGCAATCTTACTTTGATGATGACATGTGGAACTGATATGTGCGATCCACAATCGCTTCGTTTGGTCATGATAATAGCCTTGTAAAGGTATATCACTTCACAAAGTTTCCGGAGCTGCAAAACTATTTTGAATGGGACACTCTCATTCATAGAGACTGTTTGTAGAAGCCTGCAATAAATTTTGAAATCGAAACTGGCAAACTGTTAAGCAAATATGCATTATGTAATTACTTAAATCTAGCAGGATCTGTGATCATTTCTGGTTTCGGATAATCATAAAATAAGAAAGTTGGGTTTAGAACTGATGTTAGACCTCTATTTCAGCCATTTCTGTTTGATTAGATAAAATTGTGTGTACCTTTCGATGTTTGTTGTTAATCATTCAATTAAACAAAACGCTTGGCAAACAAGCTTGTCAACCAACTGATTAGACACCAAAGCATGAGTGTTTAGTCACGGACTAGTAACAGAGGCTGTCGTTCAAACATCGAGAAATAAACTGGCACGTTGCTAAGCCTTATTGAGTCTAGATGAAAGTACAAAGGTTCATCGAAAAAACCCGGCTCCACTTGAATTTCACACTTACTCTACACTCTATTACGTTCGGTTGCGTACTTCAAAAGGTTGACTAAAGGAAATCTGACGTTTTCCAGAGGTTTGTAACACGTTTTAGCAAAAGCCTTTCAGCTGTTTTCACAATGGACCGCTGGCTAATTGCTTCGGCTCTGGACAGAGATTGCACGCTTATCTTTTTTTACTTCGATACCCTATCGAGGAAGCAAAATCACATCAGTTTATCTTCTGCTTTGGCAGCAAAAGGGGCTGAAAAACTATTTACTGGTTGTTAGCGACGCCCTCCCAAGCACATGATGAAGCTCATGCTTTTCTTGAAAGTTCTCACGGAGCTGGAGGGATCTAGACTCGCGTCAAACGCAAAAGCTTACTTTTTTTTGCCTCGAGAAACGTAATATTGAGCTTGATATACGCATCGACAACTTGGAATAATATAACCAGCAAACCATAAAATTAACATTGTGCTTAACATTTCAACCATAGTTGACCTCATGCACCGCTAAGCTCTTGGATTAGCTTTCCTTTCGCTGGACTTTCGTTGAACTTTTTATAAAAAGTGCTCTGACTCTGAGGAAACAAATCTTTTCTTTTCATTATCCGATGAGTTTTGGCTAACCTTCATGAATTAATGCAATTTAAAATCATTTACGTTATCTCTCATATCCAGAAAGACAAGAGATATTCCTGCAATAGAGGGCTCTCTTCTTGAAAAGCACATTAACTCTCCCTCTTCCTAAAGAATTGTGGGATCCTGGGCCCACATTGGTTTAATTGAAATATCTCGAAAAAAAAAAGGTGTTGTTTACCTGTAAAGCGGAAGGCTCATTCAATCGCCATTAATTTGATTTTATACAAAACTAGATCAGATCTTTTCTTTTTAGTTTTATCATGCGACACCTTCTTTTTTTTTGGGAGTGGGGAGGCACATTTATAACTGAAATAAATTTTCCTGATCACTTCTTACCGCCTTCAAAGACCTTACCATCTAATTCTATTTTTCTCTAATTTTTCTTCGTTGTTGACGGGAATTTCTGAATGCATGACGTCATGAGGCAAACTACTTGAATTCACCTGTTACCAAGTTCGTTCAGATCAAAACGCTTCCTTTTACGGAATCCCACAACAAGCACTTATTTTAAATGAACGCAGATTTATTTTGTTGTTTTCCTTTTTTTTTTCGTTTTACACCTTGCTTCAAATGACCGTGGATTTTTTTAAAAGAACTTTAAAAGAAATAATGATTCATACAGAACATATTGTGGCAAAGTTACAATTAACATTGGCTGCTTTTGATGCATATGGTTATCAAAGATTATTACATCGAGAGAAAACATTTACGACTGCATTACGTAAAATTGGCTACACGCTCAAGCTTGATTTACTTCTGATTATAAAATCCTAGCTACACTTACAATGAAGACAGGAAATGGGACCCGCGAAATTGACTACAACTGGACACAAACATAGTCTAAAATACATATAAGTGAAAGGGAAGTTATTATAATGTGGGCATCTTGGTGGAATGTTCCTTTTACTTCAATCTTATTTTAAACTACTAAGTTTTTCCTTTATTTTGTAGTCTATTTATGATTAATCTTTCGTCGGACCAAATTCTAACTGAGTTGATCTCTCCATATCTAGCCGTGATAACAAGCAGGTTTACGAGGATCTGAAAGAACAGTTATCCAAGCTGAGCCGTTCGTTGAAGGTCTTAGAAACTAGGGCACTAAAACATAACTTCTCGACGAGCGAACTTACTTCAAAAGTAAGTCAAAGCATTTTTAAGATACGTGTAATATAATTTGGCTTTATCAGCTGAGTTTTGTTTTGCTCTGTCTAAGGGTTAGGGCTTGAAATATCAGCTTTCAATAATCTTGTCGTACCACCCACTGAAACAGCATCACAGTTTCTCGAGAAACTTGACCCCCTTATTCAATGTATTTACACTCTTGAAATACGTATTAGTTGAGTCCACCTTTTATGACATCTTTATTTGATTTATTCTTATCTGTATCCGTTTTTTACGGCGTATATGTCCTTAGGTTTTATACTTTCAGTATAAATATACGAACAAACATGAAGACAAGTGATTGAATGCACTGATTAAAGCTTACCTTAAATGTTATAGGGCCGCAAAACTTCTTCAGTCAAGTTACTGAAAACTGCTAAAGAGAGCGATGTCCGTCCTCTGAATAAAAATGTCCTTGATGGGCTGGCAAAACTTGTAAGGTAATATTTTATTTCACGATGAAGTACGTGTTAAACCATCACGATTATGAAAGAAAATAAAGTGTCTACAGAGATTTTGTTAGAATTTACAATGATTAAGCACTGACTCTGTTTGGAGGAAGCATCAAAATGGCAAATAGAAAATAACGATGCTGATTAATAATACAGTGTCGTAATATTTACTCATGGGCATGTCTCTCTGTTACAGTGCTCTGGATACACTCACTGAAATCCGGAAGCAGAGAAACTCTAAAGAGTCTAAGATTCATGGCGCGGCGGTTGGAAGAAGAAGGAAATCCAAAAGATCCATAAACTTTGAAACAATAGAGAATGACATTACAAATTACAAGGTATCAGTTATCAACTGTTATTAGCCATCTTCATTATCCAGATTTCTACTGCATAGAGGTCTGGATTGCAAAGGTGAAACGAAGAAACTTTTATTTGAAATTTGAATAAAGGGTGGATAAAAAGTGAAGAAAGGTGCGTGGATAGGATCCTTTGGAAAGCTTGTTTATCATAATTATTTTGAGTTAGACTGGAACTCTCGTAGTTCTTATGGTTCTTGAATGGTGATGTTCTCGTAAAAACATTACAGTAGATCTGTGAATAGAGCAAGTCCATCAATTTTTATCATAGAAGAATATTGTTTGTGGTTATTCAAGTTCTATCAAGTGATATTTTTCTCATTATTCGCAGATTTTAATCAGCGATATATCTACTGAGGCAGAAACAGTTGATCAGGTGACCAAATCTGGAAAAATAAGCCTGGAGGAAGGTAAAATAACCAAAAGCAAAGAGGAAAAGATGAGACAGGAAATTGCAGCAATAAGCAGTCGGTGGAATGTACTTTGCAAAGACGCCGTCGACAAGTGCAACAGGTAAAAAGACCCTGGCCGCTAATCACACAGTCATGCCAATTTACTGTTGATAGTTAATATATCTGATGTTGGAATAAACATGTTTTTAAATAACCTTCATTCGGCACATCACGCATAATGTATAATGTTTTAGCTCATCAAAGAGCCATCACAATCAACTCTAATCTGAATTTTCTTCAAGGTATACCGGAGATCTTTATCGAATCCAGATATTTTTTTCACTCGACCTCTCACCTCTTTGAGTTTATGAAAGTATCCTAAATGGGGTCAAACACCACCTTTTCTATTAATTATTTCAGCATCGAAGCGTTCGTTTTGGAAATGCAAACTGAATATTCCAAGTTAGATTTGTGGATGAACAATGCTGAAATAGCGGATTCATTGCTAATGGAATACGACCCATATGCAGATCACCCGGAAAAGTTGGGAACCACGATTACAGCTGTGAGATTACAGCTTCATGAAAACCAGGTTCGCATCAGTGTATATATAGACATGAGTGTACACTCGTCATGTTTCAACTTCTATGGATGATACCACAACACTTTGTTTGGGTTTGTTCTGCCATTTTGTCGTGGTCTTTGCTCCTCTTTTACCCTTTAAATAAGTATCCAGCACATGCCTAAGTTAGGATTGTTAGGGCCAGAGCCTTTCTAAGACATCCTAAATTAGCTATTTGCACCGGCGGCTTGAAGGTGAGATTTTGACAACATTTGAGTTAAAGGTTAAAAGCCAGTTAGCAGACGGATTAGAAAGAAAAAGAGGAATAAACAGAAACAATAACAACTACAAGTGTTTAGATTTAGAATAATCGATGGTTGATGAAAGTGATTTTCTTGGAAATCATGTAATGCCTCTTCCTGCTTTCGAATCTTGAAAATGATAATAATAATAATAATAATAATGATAATGATAATAAAATAATAATAATGATGATAATAAATAATAATAATGATAATAAATAATAATAATAAAAAATAATAGTAATGATAATAAATAATAATAATGATAATAAATAATAATAATGATAATAATAATAATAAAACGGGTTTTACTACACAAATGTTGGGAACAATTAATTGTCTGCAATGGCCCAAACCTGAACTTAATAAGTGCCTTTGATTTTTTTTTCTATCCAAAGAAAGTCCTAGAGAACTTTAGGAAGTCCAAGCCTAGACTGCATAACATGAACGACATAGCCGCTACACTCATGAAGAGTGGACGACTCGACGAGGAAAATACTGACGAATTGGAACGTGTTATCAATGTTATCGTTGCAAAATGGGAATCGATCGATAATCGGCTGAATGCAAGTCGAGACAGGTGATATATGGAAGGAATTAGTTTGAGGATTTGATATAAATGGGTTGTAGCCGTAAACATAACTGCAAAATTATATATAATTATATATAATTTTGGATAATAACATCCAAAATTATACTGTGAGACATCTTTAAGAAACTAAGCGAAAGGCAAAATCTGTCATTCCTTCTCTTTATAGGATTTACGCTGAGATCAACAAGTTAAGACAAAGGCTCGTAAAGCAGAGGCAGTCGATTATTCGAAGGTTTAGCTCACGGAGAAATTCATCGTTTCGAAGGAAAAGATCCATGCGGAAAAAACGCGAGGCGCAGCAGAAAAAAGAAGTCGAGACAAAGGTATTCCTGCAAATTTGTAAAGCCATTCCTCTAAAAAACGGTCACTCGCTGTTGACGAAGGAATGGACGGGAAGAAAAGGCGTGAAATAAGCATTTCTCTGAAAGAGGAAACTATTTTCAATCATTCTCTTTTGTCGAAGAAAAAGTTCGAGGTCAACTTTGGTAGATGTGTATCAAAAACTTGCCTAAGTGAAATTTTAACCAATTTTTGTCACTATCTTGCAGGATCAGGATGCTAATGAAAGAAAAATTGATATCTCTATGAAGGAAACTGTTACCAAACGAACATCACTGGATTTGACTGTTTCATCAGATCAGGTAAGCATTGTTAGATTGTTGGTTTTATCTAAGAACTGAAGAGAAAAACGCTCCAAAACGGAAGCCATCTTTTCACCACACTCCCATTAGTAACTGGAATTTAACTTCTCGTACCATTGTCAGTACATTATTTAACGTGCAGGTGATTGAAACTTTCCAAAATGAGTCAAATAGATCTTGATCCAAATTACTTCTGATAAGTTAAATAAAAAAATGTAGGTCTGTAAGGAAGAATCACAGATATATAAGATAATGGAGGTATAAGGGCCAAGCAAACTTTTAAATTGGCTATAGATCTGCATCAGTGTCAGTGTACAGGGTAACAGATTTTTCGGAGTAATATTCTTCGCAATGATCTGTTCGCCAAGTAAAACTAAGGAAATAAGTCAATAATAACTTCTACCTCGACTAGAAGACCAAAAGTAAGCAATTTCTAAAGTGTGATTCATACAGAACTCTCCCAATCAATTCTGTTATCATTTTATCTATGCATCAGAATTCAAAAGTTGATGAAAGGATCCGTGTTTTATCCAAGAAAGAGATTGTTACCAGTTCAGCCGCCGTGGATTTGAATGCTTCCCTGGACCCTGTGCACGTTGTTGTGAAAATAGACAACGATTCTGACGAGGAAAGTCTCAGGTAAAGTTCTGCAGTTATTTGAGAGCCATTGAAAGAGTAAATTAATCTTGATCGATGATGGGTAGACCTTTTGGCAAGATATCATGAAGCATTTTCCTAATGCAACCACTTTGATTGTTAACGTCGTCTCTCTAGTATTCTCCATTTAATATTCATTTCTTTTCATTTCTGTGGGGCAACACAACGATGAAGGAAAAAGAAAACTGTGTTCCCTTGAGTCTCCTAAAGGGAGTGACATCTTGCGAGCACTGGAATGAGACCATTTTGAAAAAAAAATTCCTAAGTAGATTTGTCCTGGAGAAACAAGAGTAAATAGAAAAAGAACAAGGACAGGAGGGGAAGGAGGGGTCAACATAAAGTGCAATTGAAAAACTTATAGCCTCGGAGAAAAGTCAAGGATACGTAAGCCGTTCGGATTTATTTTAAGTTCACAATCACGGTGGCACATAAAAGAGTTTTATCTGATCTTTGATAGCCTTCGCTTAATCTTCCAAGCTTTATTAGCCTTACTCTCAACCTACTATGTAACTCGTGTCATCATATTTACCATGCATGTATCGGCTATTGCAAGAAGAATACCGTTTGATTTCACCACTAGGTTGGAGAAACAGTCCAATGCTTTTAAATCCTTTGACTCATCCCTTAAGTATTGCGAAAGGAATGAGCAAAGTCTTGAGGAGGAGTCGCTTCAGAAATTTTCAGTTCCAGAGACTAGAAGGAAGGAGTTGAAAAAACAGTTGAACGATATTACGGTAAGTGGAGAGAATGCAGGCATCTACAGTGCATATCTCAAGCGTCTACATTGATGCTTAAGCACGTGGAATGTTTCGTCAGACTTGTACTTGACACTATTTTTGACTCTCTTATATTGTCGTGACATTAGAAAAATCAACTTTCGTTCTTAAGAATTGTTTTTGAAGATCTCTGTATACTTCAAGGCGGTTCGCCTCTTTTTTCAACTTTATCTCGGTATGGAGGACAGTACCCTCCCTTCTCACGATATACGTTTTCTGCCATACTCGTAACACTGAAACTCGCCAACATTATTATCCAACCCCGGACGGAAATACTGTGGATCTATAAAAACTTTTATTCGGAGGGTATACTTTGCCTTTAGACAGCTTAGGAGTGGCCAGAGCAATTTTGGTTCCTTTTTGCAAAACACTTACTACGAATTCAAATGTTCACAGGAAAGAGAATTGGCGTAAATCCAGCATACTTTTCAGGCGTTTATTTCGTTTCTTCTTGCCGAAACGTTTTCAAAATTAAAAGATTATTTGCATTTTTCAGAGATTTGAGAGGGATGTCGAGAAATCAAGATCTGAGTTTCATTCACAAGTAGATAAGTTTGAAAAGGCTAAAGAGGAAGACTTCTTCAATGATACTGACACTGAAATCCTGGGCAAGAGAGTGGAGGATCTGAAGAACCGCTGGGATCAATTGTGGGGGGAACACATCAATAATAAGACTCGGTAAGAGATTCACTATTTTATAAGATATTAAAAGCATTGAGTAGTGAATTAGGATAATAAATTAAAACAAAACGGTTAACCTTCTCGAATTTTTTCAACTCCATGCTTTCTACCTTCTCTCCCTGAAATAATGTCTCACTTACCTCGCTTGTTGCCATAGAGGTTTGGTAGAAGAGTGAATGGATGCCTGTAGAGCTGTATTCGTGATTTTGAAATTGTGGATGAGTCATAATAGGTGTTTATTTTTGGAGCGCGATCCATGTGGAGAATTTGAGAGGTTATGACATCACTTCCTTTATACTCATTATTTGCATGAGGTAAAGGTAGTTTCCTTGCTGTCTTTCTATTTTTAAACGCTGAGTAATCCTATGTGTGTGTTGATGAAAATTGATTACAAACTTGTAATCACAGAGTTCGAGGTCTGCACCGAAAGTTTTTCTTCCTCCATCTAAGCCCTAAGCAACCAACTTTAGCATGCGTTGTAACTGAGAAATATGATTTTAAATTGTTTCATTTTGTCATCACTGCATGTAGCATTATTAAAGCCACTCTGGACCTTAACGACAAGTCCTTACTGAAGATGAGCAAGGAGTTTAACGATATCGAGAGGCAGATAAATAGACCTGAAATGTACGAAGATGAGCGGCTTTCGCTTGAAGAAAACATCCTCAAACAGAAGGTAGGAGTCTGCTATCATCGTTCAGTTTGATACAAGATTCTACCAAAATTAGTTATTAGCTATTGTGTGGCACTAATAAGGCAAAAGTTGGCGGTAATCCTTACATATGCGCTTCGTGTCCACATTACTTGTTCTGCAAGTTATTTTACCACAAAAAGGGGTAAAAACTTGAGTTTCTAATATGTGTTTGCCTGGCCGCAATGCAAGTCTCATGTTAGGTTATAGTTCGTAAAGCACCGTACCGTGATCCAGAAATTCACTCAAAGGATACGAATCCTTTTAAGGCCTTTATCCTTGATTATTGATTACTTTAAAGAAGTTACATTTATATTACGTTTGTTTTTTTAAATCATTAACTTGTCTAGAAGCTAGAGGAGTATATTTTCTATTCAACCAAAATGGAATAGAGAACTTTCATAGATATAGAAAATCAACATCTTAAGTACTAGAAGTAATTCAGATGTAGCATCTCCTTGAAATCTTATTAAATCATGGATGTGACACCAAATCCGTCGTAATGAATTATGGGAAACGCAACGTGACTAGAAAGAGAAAAGATGATTCGTGTTATGGCGGTGAAAGGTTTCACAAGAAAGTATACCACTACCTGAGATTTTCTTTGAGTTTTTGAAGAATCCCAAACCGGGGGTACATTACTGTCTCGTAAGGAATCCTTTACCTAGAGTTTCTCATATTCTGCGATCGTTAATTCACGTCTGTTATCGCTTCATTGAGAGAATTCTTGTGACTATCATTAAGATCCTACCATTTATCGGTGATCTAAAGGATATTTGTTTTCCAACTTCAATCTCTCTTTGTTATTCTATTCACTCAGCGGCTGATGGATGACATAGGATCATATGACAGTGAAATCATCGAGGTGAATGTTTTAGCGCGTAGCCTACTGGAGAGAGGTTCTATCAAGAAAGGAAAATTTGAAGAAGTTCACAAGGAAACAGATTCTCTTAGAGAAAAACAGAAACAACTAAAGAAAATGTGCAGAGAGAATGGAGATAGGTAAAGCGTGATGTTATTGAAAATTATGAATGTCAACTTAGGAGGAGCTGACCAATAAATAATTGAAATGTATAATAATCATCCTTTTTTGTTTATAAGAGAACTCTCTTTCGCAAGGACTTCCACAACTACGTATTTATATATTTACTTATTAATACTGTTAGATTATTCGTACTTACTACCGGTGTTCGTGCCTATCTCTTTTTCTCTTCCTGTTACACTAACAGCATTTTGTGAGATATTCTGCCCCCTGCAGGCGAATGTAATTTGTTCCCTGCAGGTTACTTTTATCAGAAAGAGTCTCATAATACTAGATTTTTTCTTCTCTAGACTGGCAACGGATCTTCTTGATTTTAATCAGCGGAACAATAAATCTCCTGTAGCAGTGGAAGAAGAAACAATTCAGATCAGCGATGATTACAACATGCTTGCTGCATCTCTTGATGACTTACTCGCAGATGATATTTCAGACGAGGGATTCGCGGAACTGGACTCCCCTAAGGTAACGAGTCAATCAAATCGTAAATTATCCCTTGAGATCTATCCTTTTAAAAAAGTTCAAAACAGACTACTTTTCCTGTGATCCAGGGTTTAACTGTATTGTGTTCGTGTCTGTTTTCAACCTTGGACTTGTTGCCAAATGCCTTAATACTAACCTAGAGTGCTGGCTTAGCTCACGGGAGGCGGTCAAGCAAGCATGTTTGTCTTAATTGACTAATATTTTCCTTTAGCTCGCGATTAAAGTGCATTTTGATAGGCAGAGAGTTCCTTTTTATAGTTATTTGCGTTGTGGGCTACTGTATGGCTGAATTTGACGTAAATATTTTTGCCTTTTACAGTCAGTCCTAGAGAAAAAGATTAGAGATTTTGATGGACAAGTTCAGTCCATGAACCAGTGGATAAATGACTCTGAGAAGTTGGTAAATTCGCTTCGTGTGGGAATGGATCCCGATGAAGTTTCAAAGAGGATCCAGGAAATAAAGGTGGATTTAGAGAGCAATTTTAAACTTAGTGTCGAAAGTTATTTAGTATTTCATTCATCATTTTTGTTTTCTTGTCGAAAAGTGTCCCTTTTTTATGTGAAAAGAAAAGGGATGTACATAATACATATTTTCAAATTTGCACAGGTTTTGAAAACAGGTGTGTATATATATATATATATATATATATATATATATATATATATATATATATACATAAAGATATATATATTCTCCTCGATTACTCAATGCATGCATACACAGGCATATATTTTTGCCTTAAGTTCTCATCGGTTGCTTTTAATGCGTAATTCAATTAGAACCACGAGGAAAAATATTTGATATAAACATTACCATCGAACGGTGAAAAAGATTCAGAAAAGCTTTCTATTTAAGGGAAACGCAAAATTTAAATGGACATCTACCTTCTCAAACACTTTGCTGGAACACTCACTGCTTCCTCTGCCATTCTTCATTTTGGTCTTGGAAACACCGATCACAAACCAAACTGGTGATTGATTGAAAGGGAGAGTCAGAGGGGCAATAGAACGCCATAAAGGGTATTTTAAAGGATTGTCGACTATTTATGTTCGGGATTGTAGCTTGTCAGTCTTTGACTTATCTTTGAATTTAGCTCCGATAAATTCATGTTTCTTTCTTTTTTGTATGTTTACTTTTTTCTCAATTTTTTGTTGCTGTTGTTTTCAGATACGATGTAGAGACATCGAAAAAAAGGAGGCTAAGGTGAAATACATAAATAAACTTGGCCAAGAGATAACTGCTGAGTCCCTTGACACGACTCTTACCGATGGTGTTGAGGAGAAGCTTGTAACACTGAACAAAAAATGGCGTGACACAAGGGAGATCTTAAGTGACTACCATGACAAGGATGAAGACGAACACTCAGAATTTGGAAGTTGCTGTTGTTTTCAAATGATAAAGAAAGCGTTTCAGGCGTGTTTCTATAGTTGAATGGGATTTGTCAGGAAACACATCTCTTAAATAGAGATGAATTATGCCTCTTGTTGTGTAATTATCACGTCGTCACCACAGCCTCACCCTACAATTGTAACCATACTTGCATCTATATACCTTAATGGACAGGATGTCAGTTTGAGTAAATAGAAGAGGACAGATTTAAAATTGTAAACCCAGTAGTTGATCAAGAAAGGTGTCGTTAGTCTTTCAGTTAGAGTTGGGGCAAGGAAAAGTTGAGTCCTCATGACGAATCGTAATCAAGACCTTTGGATTTCGCGCTCTCACTGAACAGAGAACGATACAGTGAGTAAGACCATTGCTATTTTCTTATTTGACTTACTTCCTGCGCAATTCAAGGATCAGCGGTGTTGAAAGCGCCATGTAAGTGAATAGAAAAACAACAAGTTTTGACTGAGTTCGATAGTGGTCTTTGGTATGTCGGTTTATTGGTGCTCTTTCATCTATGAATTACTCGCTTTCTTTTAAAATTTTTATATCCCACAGTCTCATATTTTCTTGCCTTGTCAATAATTATTGTAGAGTCGCTGTAATGTGAAAGCGGAGGATACGGAGGGCACACAGCAACGAAAGAAAGCAACTCGACTTTTTCTAGGCCTCTCTCAAGGCATCGTCAATGGATTTTTGCCTTGAAATAAAGTTTCGAACTATGTTTTCCAGCTACGCAATAACGACCGAGATACCAACGGGAAAGACCCATCTCTTCGTTGTACTAAATGAGCATCATTGAGTAACCTCTTTTACTTCGTTATATAACCGCTAGGAAGTAAGCTCTGTCTACTATAAAGGGCTCTTTAAGGGCTGGCGTGCAAGAACCGCAGGCTCTGTAATGCATATTGATTGACTGACCACATATATTTCAACGCAAAGTTTATTACTAAGTAACTACCCTAATCTTTGCCACCCATAGCGACGCGCTTGTTATCCCAGTCATTGATCTGCAGTGTCTTAAACATAAAGTGAGCGACATCAGCCCGTGAAACTATCCAGCCTGACCTTGTTACAGACATTCCTTCGGCTACCACGTAATCAGTTCCGGTAAAAGGACCTAAAGAACAAAAATTAAATTTGTCTTTAATCTAAGAGTTTTGATTAGATTGTAATCTTTGCTAAAATGGACATTTTGACCATAACTAACTTTCCTCAGTGAAAGATGTAGATGATAAACACTTTTGTCGTTAAAGAGTTTATTAAGGATTTCATGCCGTTAGGACAGTAGTTTGGCCATCCTAGAGACAACCATTGAGAGATGGCCGTTCGCTCAAAGGTTGAATGCATTCATTAATTCACCTAACATAAACTTTTCAGGCTTGACCATATAGTTATTTCGTTTGGTTCGTATAGTTATTTCGTTCTAAATATATTGGACATATTGTAGTCTAAAGCACTGTAGATGTTGTGGTGATATCCTTGAGACTATGGTGATTGTTTGTAGTGGTTGAGAGCATAATCTCAGGAATGTTTTTGAAACATTTGTTGATCATGGCCTAAATGTACCTTTGGACAAGTTTGGAGGTCGCACAATAGTGTAACAGATATTAGACTTCATGACAATATTTTCCATCAGTTGTTGAAGTCCTAAATGTAATAACTGTCCTAAATGTAATAAAGTCCTAAATATAATAACATTTGGTCCTAAATGTAATAAATCCCTAAATGTAATAACGTTCGTCCTGAATGTAATAAGCCTCCTATGCAATCGTTTAACTGCGCTAACATTGAGATGTTAA